CCCAATGTCCCCTTTGCCAAATTGAATAGTTTTATTCTGTGTAGTACAATTTACTGGACTGAAGCTGGAGAACTTATTGTGCTTTGGTGGCCCTCAGGTTTCTTATTTGTAAAGTGAGTATGTTAGTGGCCTCCACGTTCTCTTCTGGTTTTAGCCTGTATGGGAGTTCTTCAATCTCTGAAAGTTACAGAAAACATCCCATATCTGAGATACAAAAAGTACTCCACATCTGAGATTTATTGTCAGAAAGTCAGAAAACACCTCCACACCTCCTCTGCATTCTCAGGAAGTTACAGGAAAGCACTCCATATCAGAGATTCTGATGTGGGAAAGCTTGGATGTATAATCTTAAGTTCATGAGCTGTAAGCAGCTCCTGCTTCTCTGTATTGCATTCTTCATCTACCTGTCCATTGGCATCTAAATGTTGCAGAACAAGAAAATCACATAAGCCTACTATTTTCAACATACATCAGTAAAATTATTACCAAAAAATTTTGAAATCATTTATTCCACATATATTTTATATATGAGTTGCTTCACTGGATTAAAAATTATTTAAAAACATATATACACATATATTATACATGATAGGGCAATTGAATTGGTATATAATAGGTTAATGAAAATAAAAATAGAAAGTTGAATACAATGAGATCATTTTTTTTAGTTCTAACATATAAAACTTTCTGACATTTAAACATAAGAATTGAACATTGGGGCAGATAAAATGTTTCTCATTCGGGCAGAGCCCAAAGCCAGGAGGACATATTGCCCATTACTGCCTTCTGGCACGGTTTTCTAGGCATAAATGTATGCACTGTAAATTAATAGCATTCTCCCTTACCAACAAAAATATCAGTTTCTTTTTCTCCTGTACCATCTAGCATAAAGACAACACTCATTAAAAGTTGAATAATAATGAAACTGCATTGGGTAGTTTAATTTTAGGAAGCACCAATGTTGACAACAGACCAAAAAACAGAATCTATGAGACTTAAAATATAAGGCAATTACTTTCGAAACCCAAAACTAGTTGCTGGAGTTAATGATAGGAATACTTTGAGACCCTGAATAAAGCAATTGCAGCTTTCCATTGTGTGTCATTATAGTATACACACTCATGTGCAGGTACACGTATACATATATTTACACTGCTCAGTTGGGCCTCCGTAAAAGCTACGTATTCTGTATTTCTACTTATGATCTGTTTTCCCCTGAATTTCCTGTTTCATTTTATCAGGGTCATATGCTATTAATTTCATACATTTTCCTAACATTACTATATATACCCTGGATACAATACTACTTATCAGTTGTATTTTTTTGAGGTACACATTACATAAAGACTACACCAGAGTTTGCCATCAATTGCCTGTTTTATTCTAGTTTCTCAGAGCACTGAAGTGCCAAACATATTTTTTCAAAACTCACATTCTTTCTTAAGTCATGGCAGCTCTCCACACAAACACCAGCCTCTGAATAAAAACAGCTAGTAGATAGGTTGCACTTATACCACCTCTGTACTCATATTCCTGAAAAGAAAATCAAATAGGGCCACAGGAACATGGGCAGTAGTGGTAATAAAAGCAGGAATTTCACCTAAAGAGGCTATTAGTTTCTTTCTTTTCGTATGTTTTTCCTCTGTGGCAGAAGGGGCAGCACAATTATCAAAGCAGAGAGAATATTTGCAATAGATGTCTAAAGTGATCTACAGGGGTCTGGGCAACCAACAACAGAACATCTAGGAATTCAGAACAGAGAGGCTGACCACCTGCAACACCAGTATCCCTTGTGAGCACCTGTTCCAGTCCCTGCTGCTCCACCTCCAATCCAGCTTCCAGCCAATATGCTTGGGAGAGCAATGGAAGTGCTTGGGCCCCTGCCACCCATGTGGGAGACCCCATTGCAGTTCCAGGCTCCTTCTTTCAGTCCGGCCCAGACCCAGTTGTTGCATCCATTAGGGGCCATGAGCAGCAGATGGAAGATTGATCTCTCTCTCTCTCTCTCTCTCTCTCTCTCTTCTTTCTCTTTCTCCTTCCTTCCCCTTCCCTCACTCATTTCTTCCCTCCATCCCCCCTCCCCCTCCCTCTCTGCCATTCAAGTAAATAAATCTTAAGAAAAGAATAGAAAACAGAAACCGGAAAACAAAGAAAGAGGTGGGACTCTATAAGATATGTATACAAAACACCAAGTGCAGTACAGAGCTGATGGCCACATTTACCAGGGATTGGAATCAAGTGTTTGCCTTGTAAGGATACTCATGTCACAGGATGATGGAACTCTGTGGCACACTGTGGATCATAGAACATGGGGGAAACCATTTCTCTAAGACCAGGATAGGAAATTCCTTCCTTTATAAATAATACATTATTGTTCTTTGGGCAATGGCAAGTTATTAGGTAACTATCTCCCTGTTACTGTAAGAGCACTCTAACCAACTGAAGTAAAGGCTCATTCCCCTCAAAATGTTTTTCTTCCATAATAAGGGCACATAGGCCAAGGGATTTTAAATGTGCTGCCTTTTATTTCAAGTAGCTTGATTGGATAGTGAAAGCAAAGCATCCAAAACTTGAATTTTCTTGGACTTCTTATGCTTCAGATCAATTTCTTATGAAGGGTGACCTTAAAGGGCAGCCCTATTCTTCCTAAAGCAGAGCCTGTTATTAATACAATGTTAGGGCTCAGTCAGAAGAACTTCAAGTCATGCTCCCTTTATTTTCAAAAGTTTCTATATTAGCTCCTATGTGCACATTTATGTAAAGAATCACTGTGCAGGCCAAATGTTCCCTTCTCTAGATAGCTTATAAGCATCTGGATAAATTTGCATTAGAAATTCAATTAACTTTATATTGAAAGGTCAATTAACTTGGTCATGATAGAGATTGTTTTTAATTACTTTTCCTTGTAGGGCTTCTCTTCTTGTCTAAGTACAAGTGACACTATCAAATGATAGTCTCATTGCCTGTTGGTTGCCTGAAACTCATATGCAAACACACTGGAAATGGCTGTCTTGGTTTAGTGAATTAATAGGGTATTCTTTGGGCAATTCATCACTATTATAATCCTTTGGGCTTAAAGTATCTGTAAGAAATAATAGAGTATTTTAGCTCAAACACTGTTTATAATATTACTCATGGAAATATTCTTCATTATTTTTCCTGTTGGTTTCTATTTTCTTAGCGAGAGACAATAATGGAAAATAATTTTAAGGATTAGTCCTTATTATATTATATCAGAGTGTATTCTATGAATAATGAACAAATAATTGTATCAAAACTAGCTATCTCATTTCATTAGAAGAATCATGGTTATCTTTTTGGTAATATGGGCCAGAAATCAATTAATTCATGTTTTGGGCCTACAGCATTCATGCTTAACAGACATAAGGAATTACCACTGCACACCAGGCATCAAGTAGCAGTATAGTGTGCACTTGCTACCAAGTGATAACCAGTACTAAGCCATCACTCAGACAAAAGAAAGTGTTAGCTAAAGTCATAAAAATATAAAATTGTTAACATACTTTTATATACAAATATTTTAACCCAAACTTCCAGGTAACTTACAACTTAAAAGTAAAGCAGTCACTATTTAGGAGTTTGACATGAGATGGTTTTGAGATGAAACTTGCTTTATTCTTGCAGAAGAGAACAACCTTATAGAAGCAACAGTAATGCATTAAGCCCTTTGTAAATATTACCTATATGATTACATATGAATAAATTAGAATTCAGTTTCCCATTTTACTGATGAGACAACTGAAGCTTAGGTTTCAGCCAAGGTCAAGTAGTCCACTGGGAGAAGACTCAGCAATGGCATCCATGTCAATTTTCCACCAAGATAAAAATACCAGTTCTAAGAGTAGTCAGGCCATGGAATGCTTGAACAAGTCAAAGGGAGTTGGGGAGAGTTTTGACTACTTAGAAGGCAGTTCTGGAGCTCAGTCAGAGGAAGGCGGTGGTGTAGGCCAATGTAAATCAAAGAGCAGATTCAGAATAATGTAAGTTAAGTGCATGGTTAAGCATGTTTTCCCCTATAGTGGGACTTTCTCAGTGAGGAAGCTGTGCATCAATTTACATTCTAGTACACATTTCTAACCTCTTCACAGGCCAGTAACAGTTTGCACACTAATAACAAGTACAATGACCACGCTTTAAGAGGCACAAAGTAAAAGGAACATTTTATGAAATTTTCCTCTTCTGTAAACAGTAGGTCAGTTTTGATATGTTATCCTTGAAGTTATCCTATAAAGGGGTCTTTAAAAATGTTCATGGAAAGGGGCCAACACTGTGGCATAGCAGGTAAAGCTTCTGCCTACAGTGCCTGCATCCCACATAACCACCGGTTCGAGTCCTGGCTGCTCCACTTCCAATCCAGTTCTCTGCTATGGCCTCGGAGAGCAGTAGAAGATGGCCCAAGTCCTTGGGCCCCTGCACCAGTGAGGGAGACCCAGAAGAAGCTCCTGGCTCCTGGCTTCAGATTGGCCCACTAGTTGTTGCAGCCATTTGGGGAGTAAATCAGCAATGGAAGTTCTCTCTCTCTCTCTCTCTCTCTCTCCCCACTGCCTTTCTGTAACTCTGTCTTTCAAATAAATAAATAAATCTTTTAAAAAAGAAGAGAAAATGAAATAACTTTTAAAAATTTCATCGGAATGTTTTATGAAAAAATTTGTGTATTGAATTAAAAAATTTATGAACCTAAAATACTTATTTCATTTTCCATGGATTTTTAAAATTATTCGTATGATTTTTTCCACATATAAAGAAGAGTAAGAAATTCAGATCATTTATTTATTTAACAGGTAGTTATAAAGGCTAATAATTAAACCCTATGAATCCACGGGGGCATTAACCTTAGTTTATATGATGTTGATAGTTTTAATAAGATAATTTTTTTTCAAAAGCAAAAGGAAGTACTTTTCCTGAAGAATGGAAAACATTATTTTAAATAACATGATACTTGGAGTGAAATACAAATTTCTGAAATGCGTTATTCATACCTGCACCTCCTCCTATGCTCAGAATCTTAATTTCTGATTTTACATCCCCAATCCTGAAAAACAAAAACAGAAAAGCTAGTTTAAGAAAAATGTGCTAAGTGCTCTGTAAAATCTGATTATCAAGGCTGGTGTCAGAGAATAGACAGACTTATAAAAAGAAATAAAAACTAGACAACAGGAAAGGTCTCAATCATCCCAGTATTCTGCTGTCTTTAGGGAATCTTTAAAATATAGGTTCCATTCATTAATAATCGTGAGCTGGGAGATATGGAAACAGCACTAGGAACATCTCCGAGGGAAGAGAGGGCATTTGTTTGGAGAACAAGAGCAGAAAAAGTGGACCTTTGAGCCTGATAATGGAAGCAACCATTTATTGTAACTGGGGGAAATTCTATGGGGGATTCATACTGTATTTATGAAGTCTGCCTTTTACCTTTTCTTCTTCCCACCTTCTCACTACACAAATGTTTCATAAAGCATTTATATGGGTCAGCGCTGTGGTGCTGCAGGTTAAGCTGCTTCCTGCAGCGCTGGCATCCCACATGGGGGCCGTTTCGGATCTCAGCTGCTCCACTTGCAGTCCAGCTCCCTGCTAACGTGTCTGGGAAAGCAGTGGAGGATGGCCCTAGTCCTTGGGCCCTTAAACCCATGTGGGAGACCGAGATGAGGCTCCTGGCTCCTGGCTCCTGGCTTCAGCTTGACCCAGCACTGGCTGTTGTGGTCTTTTGGGGAGTGAACCAGCAGATGGAAGATCTCTCTCTCTATTTCTCCTTCTCTTGCTCTGTAACTCTGCTTTCAAATGTATGAATAATAATAATAATAAAGAATGATTAAAAATAACTATTTATGATGTGCCTATCATAGGCATTATGTTTATAAAAATGAATGAGACACAACTTTGCTCTCAAATTGAAATGGGAGGTAATAAAACCCTAATTATGACTCTAGTACTAGAAATAGAGTGGAATAGACAGATTGGAAAGTAAGCCAATAGGACTTGCTTTTAGATGGATGTGAAGGGGTCAGAAAAACATATGAGTGCACATTGGCTGCCCTGTTTCCAGCTTGGATAACTGGGCAAAGGGCAGCTTCCTTTTGAAGCTTCAGAATATAGTTCGGCAGCCTGTTTACATTTTGTTAGTTTTTTTCTAAAACGAAACTAAATTCACAAGCATTTGGATATGTAAGATTTAAGTTGGATAGGAGAAACAGCAGGGTCAATGGGATATTCTGAAAAATGATTGCCATAAGTAATGGTCCAAACTAGGAGAGTAGATTCCATCACCCAATCATATTGCAAAGAGTTATTAAAGTAGTGTTGTGATGATATTGTCCTCACTTTTAAAAGGCATTGGTTTGTGAAGAATACACAAAGGAGACAGAAGGAAGGTGATAAAAGTCAGAGAGGGGCTTGGAGAATTGGAGACAGAGATAGCCATCAGTAGTGTCAAAGGCAGCAGCCTGTACTACTATAAAAGGAGAATTCTCCATTGAATTTCACAGTATGGATGTCTTTGAAAATAACCATTTTAAAAGGAGGTTGAGGACGGAAGTCAGATGGCAGTGGGATTAAAAGTGAACTCAATAGAGAGGAAGTAAACTCTGGAGAATATTGAAGCAGGCTGAAAAGGTGAGAAGAAGAGAGGAGTGCTAGAAGGGAAAGATGAACCAAAGGGATGGTGTGTGTTTGCACTGTGGGATGGTAAGCTCGCTGTGTTTTGGCTGATATGTGTAAAACAACCTGCACGGAGCAATCAGGTGAAGACATAGTTTGAAGCCAAGTCCTAAGGGAAGTTGGGAAGGCTGGAGTCAAAGTTATGTCTGAATGAGTTCTAACATTCTTCCAGCTCATAATACTGAGTCTTCACACACTTGTCCCCAATTTTGTCTTTTGTTCTCTTATATCTGAGGACAGCCATGACCTTGGGGTTCACATAAAACTGCAGATTGAACCAAATCCTATATAACTATTTACTGGTTTTTAATACATACACACCTATGATAAAATTTAATTTGTGAATTAGTCATAGTAAGACATTAGCAGCAATGACTAATAATAAAATAGAATAATTACAGCAATATATTATAATAAAAGTTAATTAAAACTTACAAATTGTTTATTTCTGGAATTTTTCATTATGATATCAAGCAGAGTTAACAAAATCAATAAGGAAGGTGTTAAGAGGACAAATGTATTAGTAATTATTGTGATTCTAGGCCAATTTAAGCATTCATATGAGTTAACTCTCTGAATCTCACAAATCCTCTATGAGTTGGTCACCTTTATTATTCATTTTGTGTATTATAATTATAACTAATAATTCCTGAAAACTTATTGTATTCCAGATAACCATCTAAATGTAACATGTAACCACAACACCCATAAAGTTTACTTTTTACGGCTACGTAGTCTCCCAATACCTACCTTACTTCTGCCCAAAATCAAGGATTGAAAACTTCCTCCCTGAGGAAATAAACCATCAGTGAACAGACTTACCTCTATTGATATCTGAGGATCTCCCATGAAAGAGCTGAGTCCACACCCAGTTACTACAATGGACCTGTCATTCAAAAACCTTTTCTTGGTGTGGACTTCTGACACATCACTTAAGATGTTACCTGGGGAGCCAGCGTGTGGCACATTTGGTTAATCCTCTGCCTGCAGCACCAGCATGGGCAGTGGGTTCTAGTCCCGATTGCTCCTCTTCCAGTCCAGCTCTCTGCTGTGGCCCAGGAGGGCAGTCGAGGATGGCCCAAGTGCTTGGGCCCTGCATCCACATGGGAGACCAGGAGGAAGCACCTGGCTCCTGGCTTCGGATTGGCACAGCGGCCATTTTGGGGGTGAACCAATGGAAGGAAGATCTTTCTCTCTGTCTCTCTCTCACTCACTGTCTAACTCTGCCTAATAATAAAAAAAAAAAAAAAAAGATGTTGACTGGGAGGCCTTAATCCCATAGTGCAGTGCCTAAATTCAGGTCCTGGCTCCACTCTCCATTCTGGCTTCCTGCTAATGCACCCTGGGAAGCACAGTGAAGACTCTCAAGTAGGTTGGTCCCTACAACCACATGGGAGACCCAGTATGAATTCTCAGCTCCTATCTTTGGCCTGACCCAGCCTCAGATGTTGTAGGCATTTGGAGAGTGAACAAGCAGATGAGAGATCTATCTGTCTCTCTATCTCTGTCTCTGTCTCTCTCTGTGTCTGTCTTTCAAATAAATGCAATTTTTTTAAAAACCTGTCCTTATATATACAAGTAGAATCTGAACTGCTTTTTAGTGCCTCCTTATTTGATTGAATGGACAATCTAAGCTCATCAGGTAGTTGGAGAGATCCCTTACATGAGAAACAGAGACTAAAACAAACAGAAAAAGTAACTCAGAAGATACACACTGAGAGCAGAGGAAAATTTTGTAATAGAAAAGAGAAGGCATTACATCTGTGGCAGACAAAAAGGATGCAATAAAAAAGGAGCGTTCTTAGAAACTCAGAATATAAAAGCAATACATTAGTAGAGGGACTGACAGGTAACATTGTAAAAAACCTGGAAGAAGCTCCAGGCTCCTGGCTTCGGATCAGCCCAGCTCTGGCTGTTATGGCCATTTGGGGAGTGAACCAGCAGATAGAAGACCTCACTCTCTCTGCCTTTGCCTCTTTGTAACTCTTCCTTTAAAATAAATAAATAAATCTTTTTAAAAAAGTGGAAGTATGTGAAAATTCGACAGTTCATACAGAAGGTCTGGTGTTTGATGAATAAAAGTTCCAGAAAGAGAAAATAGAGAGGGGAATAATTTAAAAATTAAAAAAAGTCAAGATTTCCAAAACTGATGGATCTGAATCCCAAAGGAAATGATCCAGGGAGTATCCACTCACAAGAATGACTTTGAAACCCTACCCCTAACTTAGTATCTTAAATTTTAGAATACTAGAAATAAGAAGATCCTAAGAACTTTAAAGTAGGGAAAATGAAACAAAGCAACAGAAAAAGTTCACATGTTACAGATAAGGAATTTGAATGTCATTGGATTCCTTAATAGGTATTCTACTAGCTAAGAGACAATGGGAAAATACCTTTAAATTTGTGATACAAAAACATTTTGAGTATAGATTTCTTTTTTTTTTCTTTTTTTTATTATTATTATTATTTTTTTTTTTTTGACAGGCAGAGTGGACAGTGAGAGAGAGAGACAGAGAGAAAGGTCTTCCTTTGCCGTTGGTTCACCCTCCAATGGCCGCCGCGGCCGGCGCGCTGCGGCCGGTGCACCGCGCTGATCCGATGGCAGGAGCCAGAAGCCAGGTGCTTTTCCTGGTCTCCCATGGGGTGCAGGGCCCAAGCACCTGGGCCATCCTCCACTGCACTCCCTGGCCACAGCAGAGAGCTGGCCTGGAAGAGGGGCAACCGGGACAGAATCCGGCGCCCCAACTGGGACTAGAACCCGGTGTGCCGGCGCCGCTAGGCGGAGGATTAGCCTAGTGAGCCGCGGCGCTGGCCTTGAGTATAGATTTCTACATCCAAACTATCTAAAAAAAAGATGAACATAGAAGGCATTTTTTGAAAAGATTTACTTATTGGGGTCAGTGTCGTGGCATAGTGGGTAAAGCTGTCACCTGTGATGCTGGCATCCCATATGGACCTTGGTTTGTGTTGTGGGTGCTCCACTTCTGACCCAGCTCCATATTAATGGCCTGGGAAAAGCAGGAAATGGAAGATGGTCCAAGCGCTTGGGCCCCTGTTACCTATGTTGTAGACCTGGATGAAGCTCCTGGATCCTGACTTCAGCCTGGTCCAGCCCTGGCCATTGCGGCCATCTAGAGAATGAACTAGCAGGTGGAAGATCCCTGTCTATTTCTCTTACTCTATACATAAACCTTAAAATAAACCAATTTTTATTAAAAATTGTTTTAGAATTATAAAAGGAAATCCCATAAGAAATAGTTAAAAGACTTCCATGTATTTAAAGTGGCTTCTTTCAGTGTGTGGGAATTAGGGGTAGACTGGGTGGAACAAGATTATATTTTTGTTTTTGTTATAGGTTATTTTTAGAACGTTTATTCTATTAAAATATGAGCATGCTTTGATTTAAAAAATGTTAAAATTTAAGTAGTTTGAGTCCATACCCAAATAAACAGCTGAGTCCACATCCAGTCACTACAGTGAGCCACCCACTTATCTAACTTTACCTTCCATACACACAGGCTCCAAAATGTCTTTTAGTGCCCCACAAATTACAAACAACTTTAAGTAGTAATTTTAAATGATCTTCAACTAAATCTCATTTCAAACACTACCTTCAGGAAAAAAAAAATTACCTTCTTAATAAATAATACTTTGATTTCAGATCATTGCTAATTATTTTTTATTATAGTGCACATTTAGTTTTGCCTTTGAAAAGTTCTTAGGCTTTCACAAATGTGACATTCAATATTTCCAATGAGATTGTATTTGCTTGGAAGACAGGGAAGGGGTCATCCATCCATCATGATGTTATATCCATTCAGGGTCCCTCTTCAAATTAAACCATTTGGCTGAAGGAAACCAAACATCTGGCTAAAATACAGCAAGGAAGCCATACTTTTAGTATTGGGAGATTACTGAAAAATTAACTCATTATTTTTAATTTTAAAAATGAACAAAAAGAATCAAAGAAAGTAGACTGTATTACTTCACAGATAAGAAGTTGTCTGCATTGGCTGTCTGCTTTGATTCTGGGTGGCTATGCTATTACATACTAATTATAAATACATCATATTATACTCTATTTTTGGAAATGAATCTTTAAAGCTGAACAAAGTGAAATAGAACATAAAAAGGGAAATAGGATTCCATATCCATCCAACAAGGCCTGCTCTGTTCAGGCAGAGGCACCGCCCTGGCGAGAGAATTTCAGGCCTGCAATAGAGAAACTCAGCAAGAGATAAAATATCTGGTACCTCTGCTGTTTGCAAATTGGATCCACAGTCAATCATTTCTCCCTAGTTTTCCATCATTATTTCCTAAAGCAGAGTGAGTTATGTATGGCAATTCTTCCCCAGATAGGTGATTTGATTATCTTTAGCATGTGGAATCTGTTACTCTCATAATGCTTATCAGTTCTGGCATAAATTGAACACATTAGTCACCCTTCCCCCACCTACCCCCCAAAAAAGAAGTCTGCAAGAAGGGTGGGAATTAGTGAGTTTCACTGATAATGGGAAAATGCTCTTTTTAAAGGATCACAGTGCTAACATTAAGTTGAAAGAAAAGACAACGGGGGAGGTGGGTGAAAGTAATAATGCTAATAATGGATAAGGAAAATGAATTAAAATGGAAAATCCAAGAAATAAGAAATGAGAGGCACCCACTCAGTCCTCAGGGGCAAACAGTCTTTGGCGATTATTTATATTTGATTCCAATGAAAAGAATGCCGGACTTCCCTGGGGACTTTTTTGAAATGTAAAATTTGGAGGAGAGTTGAAAAACCGGAGTTCAAAGATTTCTATCTTATCCTAAATGAACAGGGATTTGTGCCTTCAAATGGTTAACGCTTATCTCTGTGCAGCTGGAACGCCGGCACACATTGGCGGCTCTGAGCCTGAAGCAGACTTCCAGCCAAAGCGCTGCAGGAGGAAGGCAGAGCAGGGCGGCGAGGAGGGGCGAGAGGGAGCTGCTATCAGTAACTCCCCTTGTCCCCGTGCCCAGCCTGCCGAGCTCGGCTCCATCCATCACTGGCATGCAGCGAGCAGAGGCTTGTCTCTGACAAAAACATCCCTTTTTGTTACCTTGCTATTATGCCTGGCAGCTTCTTGTCCATGAATTCCTGCATGCACTGGTGTTCCGTGGAATGGCTGAGGAATCTCCGAAAAGATTCGACATAGCGGCTGTGGTCAGAAAACAAGCTCCTCATGGAAGATGCCATGTTTGGTTTTCTGAGGGAGACAGGGAGGAAAGTCAGCTTTTACTTCCTCTCCTTCTCTTTTCAGTTCCTCATTTCCTTCTTTCTCTCCCCACCCCCTTTAGTTGCCATCCAAAAAAAAAAAAAAAAAAAAAAACACGGGACGATGCTTGCTCTGAATTTAAAGCTGGCATGCAGAACTTGCCACTCCATATTTGTTCAGGACTTTGGGCTGATACTTTAACCCCAGCCCAGTTGTTTTTTACTAGAGGTAGTAAAGCAAGGCAATGAATCCACAGCTAAAACTTGTTTTAAAAGCCCTGCTGTACAGAAAGCCTTAAAAACAGATTGCATTCAAATCACTTCCTATTTGGTCAGCAGCTGCCACAAATGAATTCCAAGTGGGATCATGGCTGTGAAGTGCAAGAAACATAGGAATAAACAGCACAGTTACAGGGCTACCGGACACTTTCAAAAATCTACAGCCCTGAAATCTTTGGCAGAAGACTGTCACCTGCCTTTGTGCTTCACACAGAAGCTTCTGCCTTCCTGTCCCTGAGCACTGGAATTTTTAAACTTTCGTGCTTCATTTCTTCAAGTGCAGATTGACGACGTATCAATGCATATAATTTTATATGTTGGCTAGACGTAAAAAATAAAGCATTAATATGTCTCAAGAAGTCTCTTCAGACTAAATCATTAGGGAGGCACGTAAGAGCTATTAGCCAAGAGGTATGAGAAGTTGCAGCATTGGAGGGGAATTAAAGGGGCAAGAGAGGACTCCGGAAAGAATACAAGACACCAGGGCAAATGTTTGTCTAAAGAAATCCTCCCTAATTGCTCTGCACATGGGATTATACAGTTTTTGGGTTGGATGCATTTTGCTTTTTTTTTTTATGTGTTGAATATCTTGACAGCGAGAGAACGGGAGGGAGAGAAAGGAATAGATCTTCCTTGTGAGGGAGATGCACAGGCCCGGACTATCAACGGGCTGGGTATCGAGTGAGATAGAAAGTATA